CAGCTTCCGAGCCAGTGTTGAAATTCAAAAAAAATAACACTAATATGAAATAAATCTTAGCATGCTATCCACTGCTACTTAAAATCTTCCGCTTTTCACACATCAAATGACTTGCCATTCATGCAACATATTCGCACAGCTACACAAACAAGCTTAAAATGATAGTATCGTAACGGCTACTAGCATTGCTCAAGCATAGAAAGGGTGACCGGGACTATAAGTGTCGCACATGGCAATATTCGCAACGCCACGAGATACAGTCACAGACCGTATGAACTCATTAACAGTCTGGCTAACTACCGGAATCTCAGTTACAAGCATATGAAGAAAGAATCCTCATTTAAAATGAATCACCGAGAACTATGAAAGATGCCGCGTCCATAGAGCATTTACTAAGATATATTGCCGAGAACAAATTCGCTGATCAGCTGAGGCACCGAAGAATCGAAACCACAAATGTCAAGCATATTCGGATCGCTGGGATCTGCTATGCTGAAATCTGTGGAGATCATACCCATGACAATCAACTTTGCATCCGGAATACCCATTCTCTTCCGATATTGTTGCAACGCCTCGAACGGATGAACCTTTAAAAAAAAATAACAAAAGAAGTTGACAAAGACTACCTGTAAATAAGGAAAATGAACAAAAACAGAAAATATGCTTAAAATGATCGTACGTAAGTAGAAAACAGAAAATAAGCAGAAAACAGAAAATCTTAATAGAAAATATTAAGTAAGCAGAAAACAGAAAATATTAATAATACGAAAAGGAAACATACTTCACCGAACCACGTCTCATTGTCCGTGTAAATGATGAAAACGTCAAACTGCTTTTTATTTTCCTCAGCCCAAAGCATTGGCTGCGCACAGTCTGTTGCTCCCATTGTAATTTTTGCAGCACTTTCCATGACTTCAGATAGATTCATGTCCTTTCTCCAGTCCAAAGGTATCAATTCCTCCGAAAACGCTACCGATGTTACCTAGAAGAAAATCAAGAATATCAAAGCACACTCGTTTAAGAACTATTTAAAACCACATGCAAAACACAAAACAACCCACGTACACGTGACCTATGAACATCTTTGTAAAATTTCAGCTCGGTACTTTCTGCGGTTGATGAGTTGAATGTAGCTAACAAAAATCCAAATTCATACATACACACAAACAAATGCATACACCGACAAGCGTTCGACAGTATGCATTTTTGCGTTTACCTAAAGATGCGGAAACACGTAGAAATAACGTAATCTATAAAATGTTTCAAGGAAAGAAAGTCATGCCTTCTGTTGCCTTTTGATCCTTACGTGAAGTTCTAGTTTTCTAGCACTGACTAGCAGCTGTTTGTCAAACAGGCGAGGTTGCGAGTTCAGTGCGGAGAGCAGAATCACCTACACAGGAAGTGAAACTTTAGGGGAA